CATTCGCTGTTCGTAGACAATGCATAACGTGCGTAGAATTTCCATTCGTTGTATAAGAATCACTCGTAGCATAGTGTCACATAATGCTGTTCTCATGCTACCATATGGATATTCTTGTCTCCTTACTATTTCGCACAAATTCCTCGACTTGGAAGGTTACGTTATCTTCCTTATGACGATCTTAGCTCGAGGACGAGCTTCCTTCTCCAAGAGAGGGAGTGTACCGCACACCAAGCACCAGAACTCCTTACACAACACTTCCACCTTCCAACGAGTCACAACCGAGCTGTAGTGAGTGAAAGACGTAGCCAATGAATCGCCAGATCATTGTAAGACTCTCCTAACTCACCGGCGTTCTTCACGTTTGCCATGTCATCACAAGATCCATGAATGAATGTATGGACCGCAAACCACTGAAAGGAACATGAAGCTCGAGGACGAGCTTCCTTCTCCAAGAGAGGGAGTGTACCGCACACCAAGCACCAGAACTCCTTACACAACACTTCCACCTTCCAACGAGTCACAACCGAGCTGTAGTGAGTGAAAGACGTAGCCAATGAATCGCCAGATCATTGTAAGACTCTCCTAACTCACCGGCGTTCTTCACGTTTGCCATGTCATCACAAGATCCATGAATGAATGTATGGACCGCAAACCACTGAAAGGAACATGAAGCTCGAGGACGAGCTTGCTGTAAGGAATGGAGATGTCGTGTCCCCGCTATCGAGCCGGAGGCCTCGTCATCGTGCTGGATGGTGCCGGAGGCCATCAATCAGCTAAGAGTCGTCACCGTTGATTTCGCAACCTTAGCTGGAGGTATTTAAGCTGCCCCCAGCTTCCAGCGGCAGTTAGGCCGTCGGCGTGAGGCCGACTCACCTCACCTCTACATCTTATCTCCTCACCTATACCTTGTCCCTTGTTATGTTCTTATAGTCATGTAAATAAAGTGTATATAGGCAAAGTCTCCTGTAATACACTGTAACACCGCTACGCCTTCAGGTAAAGGCCCGTACAACCTTTTATCTGATACACGCATGTCAAAAGACTAGCTTCACACCCCTCCCCCCCCTAGAGTGCCTACGCTCTCAAGCATGCTCAGACTCAGTCAGACGCATTTTTTACTCTTTTCATTTTTTTTCGGAAAGATGGCTCTCAATCGACCATGCCGCAATGTGGCTCGAGGGAAGGGGGGGGGGCAGTCGCCGCGCGCGGCTCAGCGATGTAGTGTAACTCGAACATTCCAGCTTCTCACGCATGCTAAGTGACTGCCCTCACCCCCAACCCCCCTGAATTGGCTACATTCCCCCTGGCTCACGAATTTCCTGTTGCCGCAACGCCGCGCGCGGCGGCTACCACCCCCTGAGCCACATTGCCCCCGACCTTATGGGGAAGATACAACTATGGGGAAGAATGCCATTTCTTTCAACGATTCCTTGAAGGTAGGCCTCGGACGCTCGGACTCTGCGCATGCAGGACGAGCGTGCGATCGCAGTCGTCCAAAGCGCGGTGGAGAGAATAAAAATAGAGATAAAAGAGAATAATACGAGAGACTCTACTGCACGCGTCTGTGTACAGGTGGAGCCAGGGTTTCGAACTACGTCCTAAGACTGCACTTTTCACCAAGCAAGCGATAAGGAGGGCACGTCATGCTCTTCTGTGATGGCCGTTGGACCACCGTGGGTGCGGTTCATTAGGACAGAAAGCGACTTTTTTCGCGTTTCGCAGCGCGAAACATTGTTCGTTGCGGGAATCTCGGGTCCACTGATGATTCGCTGCGGGAACCTCGGGTCCACTGATGATCAGCGGTGGACCTGAGGTTCCCGCAGCGGAAAATGTTTCGCGCTGCGAAACGCGAAAAAGTCGCTTTCTGTCCTAGTGAACCACACTACCACCGTGACCGACTGTGTCTCTCGAGTCGTCACACGTACACTGGCGATGGGCAGATTTCCCTGCAGAAGCTCCTAATGAAGTGAATGTGTAGATGCGTATCCCTCGACCAAGGAGAACCTAGTGGAGTATTGTGGAGCGCGGCAGGGACGAATGGAGGCGTCTGGCGTCTACTCACACACTCGATCAACGCGATGATTCCCGCACCCTGAATTGGTTACTTTTTCCCTAACCCATAAATTCCTCATTTTGCCATTTTGCTCCGGCTTGCCTTCGCTGTCAAAACAGAGAAAGCCGGAACTGAGCAGCTCTAACTCCTCCCTACCCAATCTGGATCAGCCGTCCACCTGGCAGGGAGACAAAGAGGTCATACTTTGTGCCTTTGGAGATGGGTGGTAATTGAAGAAATGGTATCGAATTCCTGGAAGAGACAATAAGGGGTTTTGCGAAAAGTTCAAATATTGATCGCTAATTTCAGTAATCTTGGGAGTTTTGCACTGGGTTTTGACTGTATTCTCTCGCATGTACCTTTCCTCAACGCATTTTATTTTTTTTTGGACAGAGATTGGAAGAGTTTTGGAATTGAGCCCTTCTTGATGACACCATCTATACCATTCACCAGCGTGGGCTTTGGTAGTAAATCTGTCGAGTAGGCGCCTCACTTGATTCTGCCCCACTCCCACTTTTGTAATCCCTCAAAAAAATCTCAGCACACTTAATTTTGAATAATCTTTATTTTCAATACACTTTCATATGTACAGCAAAAAATGACGAAAAATGCATTTACATACATTTATTTTCAGGAGAGCAATTGTCTGTTGGTTGCATCGGTTACCGCAGTGAGCACCTTCGTCCGACTTTTTCGCTCCTTGTTATGAATTTGACTGCGAGGCTGAAAAATCGAAAATTTTTCACTTGGAAGAGGATACTGTGATCTAGTAGGTTTATATATAAAGTTTGAAAGGTCAGATTCTCCATAAAAAGTGACTTGGAATAGCCCATTTCTTTCGGGCTGAGGTTTAGTGGCATGTGGCGCTAGTCGAATCTCGCCCAAGCCAACCTAAGCTGCCAGATCTCCGGGGTCGACCAATTGGTACCAGACCTACCTAAGACAATAGAGCCTATGACTTGTACAATATGGCCCTTGCGCGTCATTGTATAGGTTATGCCACGTCCAAATGCCTACGATCTGAGTAGAAGTGGAACGCGTGGCGCATTTCGAAAAGGGGTGATCGCCCGAAGCTTTATCCTTCTTTTACGTCGGTGATTGCGCTGCATGCCGAACATAGGGTGCGCAACTGCAACTGTCCTGCACCACAAGGACTTGCTAGCCTCGCATAAATGTTCAGAGTAAAACGAAATCATTTACCGTATAAGAACTCGAAAAGTTTTTATAAATTTTCTCGTCGTATTGTCCCCGAAGTATATCTCGCGTCATCGCTATGCTCATGTTACATACTTCCTCAATCCTGAAAAGAAAAGTCTGTCAGGTTCGCTTGCCATGGAAGGCACCAAGTGCCATATGAGCAGCCTTGGGGCACCGAGGGCCATATGAGCAAGCCTCTGCCGTGATATACCCCGACGACCTTTCGGTTTGTTGCGTACGATTGTCGGGGACATACCCCCTGCAGGGGATTGCTGCATACGGCTCCGAGATGGGGTGGTTAGATAGCGCACCTTTCCTCAATCACGGGATCGTCCTTCTGCTGCACTTGGCCTTGCTTGTCATGAATTCTTTTCATGTGAGAAACAACAAATATCTCTTTGCTATGGGTAAAACTGCAATACGGGCATTTATACTTGCGATAGTCGAAGTGCGCTCCCACGTGAAGCCGTCTGAAAATAGAAATGATTGTTAAAGCCTTCGTTGAATGTATAACATCTTTTCGCATAATAATACCCACCTACCCAATGCTCATTATTGACACTTTAGCGCGCCCGACAACTGTAAAACGCGCGTAATGAGTCATGGCATTTGTGTACCCGACAGGAGGCCCGTCGCGCGAAGAAAAGGCAAAGGTTTCTCTCAAAAAGATCTTAGGACAAAAAATTGGGGGAAAGGGTGTCCCCGCGCGCCATGTTCGCTCCCCCTTATGATCAACTCGCACATTCAGCTTTCCACGCATGTCAAGTGACTCTCCTCACCCCACCCTCTTCTATGAATTGCCTCCTTTCCCTCTGACTCACAGATTCTCATTTTCATTGAAGTGTGCGCACACCGCACACCGTGGCGGTGACCCTCCTCGCCCCAGCTTTAGGGCTGACCTTAGAATGAATATATAACTGACCGACTACGTGAGCACACCCATTCCTTGCAGATGACGCAGATAATGTTCGGATAGTATTTGGCATCATTATGCCTGGCGAAAGTCGGCGTGAAACCTGAGAGACCTGAAGGCATGAAATGAAGTGCCAATAAAAATTACGAACAAAATAATAATAAATACCTCTGAATGAAGAAAACACCTTCGAAAAAATACCCAAATCAGCCAAAACACACCAAATATAATTACAGAACTACTTAAGAAAAAATTTGTCTTTCAAAGCTTCACACTACTTACCTTCATACATTGCAGTTGACGGTAGTGCGGACGGCGGTTGCAGGGCTGATGGGTGGATATGAGGCGATTTCGCTGTGGAGACGTGTTCCAGAGCATTCTTGATGTGTGCCCCGGAAATCGCGCTCTTGGCTTCTGAAAGCACGAAAGGATGAGACGAACACAGCGGTCAGATCGCCGTCACACTCGGCGACGGCGGTCTCAAGTTTCCGCACACGATTATTGAAGGGAATCACAAATCGCAAAGAAGTTCAACCAGAAGCAGCAACTGGAGAAAAAATGGAGAGCTGCCTGGGCTCGCAGAAGTCTTCACATCAGTGCTTTCCCACCAGCCCCAAAACCATAAAGTTTTAGCATTCTGCGTTGATCAATCCTGCGTTGGGATGCAATCACCTTCCATAGTGGCATTTTGAATGCGATTAAGCCCACGCAATGAATTGTGGAGAATTGTGGGATCGGCCGTCAGTGTTTCTATTCCCTCGTACAAGTTTTCTACTATTCAACCAACCCCAACTGAAAGCGTAAATCATTTGGGCAGATTCGGCACAGTTTTGATTTCTAACTGCTGTTTTTGGCCGCAGTTCGCCTTGCGAATGTTTCACAAGAATGCTGGGTTGTGAACAAAACTTTCGCCCCAGACGGGACTCGAACCCGCACCTTAAAACGGTGCCCGGTAGC